GAGTTGGACTCTCTGCGGGAGGAGGTGCGTCAGCTTAAAAAACAACGAGAAGTAACGAAGGAGGAGACCAGCAGTAAAGGGACCTCGTCTTGGAGAGTTGCGAAAGACAGGGGCCTTAAGAAGACTTTGATAAAGCCGCCTTCAAACGCCATAGCAACTTCAAATTCATTTGACGTTTTGGAGGACGAGTGCTGTGGAGAGACTGTGGATCGCGCAAAAGGGAAAGCAACGAAGAGAAAGGAAGCGCAGGCCCCTCAGAAAGTAAAGGAAGTACCTAAGCAAACATTAGTTGTGGGAGATTCCCAGATAAGGTATTTGGATAGAACGTTTTGTGCTAGAGATAGGGTGAACAGGTTAAGGGTTTGCTATCCCGGAGCTGGCATTGGTGATATTATAAACAACATGAATGATATTATGGCTGGTAATGGGAACAATCCCATTATTTGCATTAGCGTGGGAGGAAATGATGTTGGTCGAGTCAGGAGTGAGGAACTGATTCAGAGGTATAAAACAGCCATAGAGTTAGTTAGGAGCAAGGGAGGAATCCCGATCATATGTGGCATTCTTCCAAGAAAGGGAGTGGGAAATGAATGGATATCGAGGGCACTTGGTGTCAATTGCCGGCTGGAAAGATATTGCAAATCAAATGCAATATCTTTCATAGACAACTGGGAACACTTCTATGGAAGAAATGAAATGTATGCTCGTGATGGGGTGCATCTATCGAGAGCTGGGGTTGTTGCTGTTGCGAACTCGCTAGAAGAAGTGGTTAGAGGTGTTTGTTTGGGTTTAAACTGTTAGTAGATAGAGGTATGGGAATTGATTTGGAGGAAGGAGGTAATAAAAGTATGTGTTTGTGGGAGAAAGGAATTGGCAAAACGATCAGGGAAAGAGAAGGTCCGCAAAATAACAATTCACTTAGGGTATATTACACTAACAGTAGAAGTCTAAGAAATAAAATTAACGAATTAAATGCTCTTGTCTGCACAGAAAAAATAGATATTATTGCACTTACCGAAACGTGGATGAATGTAGAAAATAGAGAACTATTAGCTGAATATCAAATATATGGATTTAAACTATTTCACACAGATAGATATATTAGACGAGGAGGTGGAGTAGCCATATATGTTAGGGACAATTTGAAATGTAGTCTCAAAGAGGGAATCAAAACAGAGCCACACACAGAAACTATTTGGATTGAATTAAACGAAAAAGCTAATAATATTATAATAGGAGTAATATATAGGCCACCAAATTTAGACAGAATGGAAGCAAAGCATCTATGGGATGAAATATCTAGAGCATCTAGATCTAACAGTATTTATGTCATGGGTGACTTTAATTTTAGCGGAATAAACTGGTTGAACAAAACAGGGAATAGTGAAGCAGAAGATTTTCTAGAATTAATTGACGATTGCTTTCTTACGCAACACATTAAGGAACCAACACGGGAAAATAATATTTTAGATTTAGTGTTAACTAACAGGGAAACGCAAATTAATGACATCGAAATAGGGAGTGAGCTAGGGAGCAGTGATCACAAAGAAATCAGATTTAGCATAGAATGGAATAGACCAGTAGGAGAAAATTCTGTTAAAGTGCCAGATTTTCGAAAAGCTGATTTTAATAGCCTAAGAAATTTTTTGGGTCAAATTGATTGGAAAGGCTTGGGTATGGGGTGTGGGCCGGTCTTGGAGCGAGACATGAACCCAGCGATAGGTGACTTAAATGGGGATTTCGATGTGGATTCAATATATAACTTATTTAAGAATATTCTAAACAAAGCACAGGAACGTAGTATACCATACAAATTGAATAGATCGTATACTAATGACCCAAAGTGGATAACAAAGAATTTGAAGAACCTTATAGGTAAAAAGAGAGCTTGGTACAAAAGGATTAAAAATGGGGAGGTCACTTTAGAACAGGAATTCGTACAACTGGTTAGAAATGTTAAAAAAGAGATAAGGAAAGCAAAAAGAAACTATGAAGTTCGCATAGCAGGGCAAGCAAAGACAAATCCTAAAGGGTTTTTTCAGTTATATCGTACTAAGACTAGGGAAAGGATAGGTCCATTAAAAACTGAGACAGGTCAAATAACAGATAGTGATGAAGAGATGAGTAGTATTTTTAATAAATATTTTGTATCTGTATTTACTAAAGAGGAACTTAACAATATGCCTTCAGCCGAACAAGTCTATGTGGGTGGGGACGAGGACAGGTTGACGAGTTTAGCAGTTACCAGGGAGGATGTTCTTAAACAAATAGTAAAACTCAAACCAAACAAATCCCCAGGGCCGGATGAAGTGTTTGCTAGGGTGCTTAAAGAATGCAAAGAGGAGCTTTGTGACCCACTGTCAACCATATTTAATAAATCAATAGAGTCAGGCAGAGTGCCAGAGTTTTGGAAAGTTGCTAATGTGATACCAGTTTTTAAGAAAGGAGATAGATCACTTGCGTCTAACTATCGACCAATTAGCCTAACGTCTATTGTGGGAAAGTTACTCGAATCTATAATAGCAAATAAAATTCGTCTTCATCTTGAAAAACATAAATTAATAATTGAGTCGCAACATGGTTTTATAAATGGCCGTTCATGTTTAACAAATTTGTTATCTTTTTATTCTAGCATTGTTGAGGCAGTTGATAGTGGTAAGGATTGCGATGTTGTATACCTTGACTTTAGCAAAGCTTTTGATACAGTGCCACATGAAAGACTGATTAAAAAAATAGAGTCTCATGGTATTGGGGGTGCTATATTAAGCTGGATTAGGGCATGGCTATACCAAAGGAAACAGAGAGTTAGTATAAATGGAATCAAGTCAGAGTGGGAAAATGTTGTAAGTGGAGTGCCTCAAGGCTCTGTCCTGGGACCTCTGTTGTTTATAATATATATAAATGATTTAGATTCAGGTTTGAGTAGCAACATTTGCAAATTTGCCGATGATACGAAAATCGGTAGGGAAATTAATTCGGAGGAGGACTCACTATCACTTCAAGTTGATCTAGATAGGGTTTTGAAATGGTCAAAGGATTGGCAGATGCAGTTTAATGCTGATAAATGTAAAGTTCTGAGGTTAGGTAATGATGATAGAGTTACAAGATACGAGCTAGATGGTGTTGTGATTGCGAAGTCGGATTGCGAAAGGGATCTGGGAGTTATGATTAGTAAGAATTTAAAACAAAAGGATCAATGCATAAATGTTCGTAATAAGGCAAATCGGACACTTGGATTTATTAATCGCAGCGTTAGTAACAAGACACCTGGTGTGGTTCTCAAGCTATATCTTGCTCTAGTTAGGCCCCATTTAGATTATGCAGTTCAGTTTTGGTCGCCATATTATAGAATGGATATAAATTCACTTGAACGTGTCCAGCGTAGGATGACTAAGTTAATTCCCCAAATTAGAAATCTTTCATATGAAGAAAGATTAACAAAGCTTAAGTTGCATTCACTGGAAAGGCGAAGAGTTAGGGGTGACATGATAGAGGTTTACAAGTGGATGAATGGACATAACCGGGGGGATATTAATAGGGTATTAAAAGTATCAACACAGGACAGAACACGAAACAATGGATATAAATTGGATAAGTTTAGATTTAGGAAAGACTTGGGTAAATACTGGTTCAGTAACAGGGTTGTTGATTTGTGGAACCAATTGCCGCGTAACATTGTGGAGGTGGGGTCCCTCGATTGTTTCAAGCACGGGTTGGACAAGTATATGAGTGGGATTGGGTGGTTATAGAATAGGAGCTGCCTCGTATGGGCCAATAGGCCTTCTGCAGTTACCTTTGTTCTTATGTTCTTATGTTCTTATGACATGCCATCTTCAATCTGGTGCCCCTAGGAATCACATGAGACAAGCCCATGACATTACTCTAACAAGAGAAATGTTGAACAAGAATACTTGCATAATAGACAAAACCCAAGATTCAAGAAGATTACAAATTCTTGAGGCAATTCACATAAGAATAGAGCGACCTACCATGAACACCCAAATCACGGAACTATTTACTCTACCCACCATGAGAGTAAGGACAAGACAAGAACATATCGATGCCAACACAGAAGACAATGTCCAACATAACAGGCCAATTACACTGGATTAATCTTTGTGTTTAGATAGGAGATGCCTCGTATGGGCCAATAAGCCTTCTGCAGCCCCTATGTTTATCCCTTATGTATCCCCCCATGTTTTCACCTTCATTGTATTATCACCTGACCTAATGCGGGTATAAAATCAACTAGTATTGTAAGATCTGTTCACTTGAGAATGAACCATGGAGGTTCGAAACGTCGTGCAAATTATACAAATAAGTGTAATACACTCTATAGTAAATCACTTCTTTTCTTCACCTTAAAAGTACGAAAATGAGTTTTGGAGAACTCCTATTTCAATTAAGCCCTGATGCTAAGAAAATAGTTAGAGGGATAGAAGCCCTAAACCAGAAAATAATAAATACAGAATATGCGGTCATATTCAATGAAACATGTTTGAAAGAAAACCTGCTGCCAGTATACACCAATATATATATATATATATATATATATATATATATATATATATATATATATATATATATATATATATAGCTGAGCCTGGGGGCATAATAGCTGAGTTAACAGCGCTCTGGTCTCGTAATCTGAGGGTCGGCAGAAACAAAATGGGCAGAGTTTCTTTCACTCTGATGCCCCTGTTACCTGAGAGTTAAACAGCTGTTACGGGCTGCTTCCTGTGTGTGTGTGTGTGTGTAAAAAAAATAATTAATAGTTAGTAATAGTTGATTGATTGACAGTTGAAAGGCGGGCCGAAAGAGCAGAGCTCAACCCACGCAAACACAACTAAGTGAATACACACCTACCTTGCAGAAACAAACTAGCTGGCCTTGAAAAATCCCCATCTGGCGTGTTACAGTTTAAAGAAATTTCATATTCGACTCGGTTAACAACGGATTTCCGGTGTCGATTACACATTATAGGAGACAACAGCAGCTGTAGTACAGGACGCCGCACTTCTCATAGCCCGGCACGCACCAGCGAGGAGTGGTAGGACCCCAAGGACCTCAAGAACCTCTCATGTCCCCACGTCAACGCCCCTCCACGACAAGGACCTCTGAAGTACAGTATCACCACCGCCCTCAACGCAGGCCCTCTTGTTTATATCTGAAACCCCCGTTAGACAGGTTAGTCTAACTTTAGACTTAGTCCATCACATCAGCGTCTCTCCAGAACGGCTGCGTCTCCCCATTACAGCTGCTGGATTATCAGGTTCACAATACAGGAGCTACAGTAACTCCGCACCTAACCCATACCAGGAGGCTTCTTCACGCGTCCAGTCCTCAGCAAGATTAACTTCAACAACACGTCTGTGACAAGAACTCACTTTCCCACCCCCCTATATCAATGCAATGATCGTGGTGACACTTCTGCCTGTGTAAACTTGCGTATGGCGTGTACGTTACTGCTACTGTAAACTTGGACGCAGAGCACGTCGTTACAGTTGTAAACATTGATAAAACGTTTATATCGGTGTCAGTGTAAATCTTAATACACAGGGTGTGATAAGGTCCCTCCCTGCCTACCCACAATGCCTGTACTCCAGGACCTGTGGTTGACCATGACCACAATCCTCGTCACTACTCTACTGTGTATGGCCTACAGGCCTAGACAAATCTCCTCCAGGATAAAGCAACAAGGTAAGATTCATTATTTCCCTCATAATATCTCACTAAACCATCAGTAAAGAGGTAAGATTCATTATTTCCCTTATAATATCTCACTAAACCATCAGTAAAGAGGAAAGATTCATTATTTCCCTCATAATATCTCACTAAACCATCAGTAAAGAGGCAAGATTCATTATTTCCCTTATAATATCTCACTAAACCATCAGCAAAGAGGTAGGATCCATTATTTCCCTAATAATATCCTAATAATCCAACGATCAAAAGTCTGTGATGAATTGAATCGAAAAACAATGAACCGTGATACATAAAAAATTAAATATACTCCAAATATTAACTACGTATTGATTCAGTTTCTATGTTCTATACTGCCTTAGGATACGATAATATACTAAGAATATCCTATTCTTAAAATGCGGTAATTCACTAGGAATATCCTATCCTTAAAATACAATAATTCACGAGGAATATCCTATCTTTAAAATACAATAATTCACTGGGAATATCCTATCTTTAAAATACAATAATTCACTGGGAATATCCTATCCTTAAAATACAATAATTCACTAGGAATATCTTATCCTTAAAATACAATAATTCACTATATGAATACCTTCTTAAGGTAAGGTAATGTACGTTAACATCCTATTGAGCGTAAGACCAGAACTGGCTCTTCAAATCAACACTGTCAGTGTTAAAATAAATTACTTCTATTGAATTCCATCCCATCAATTTCAGTTCTAAAGATCTATTCAATTCTATTTCCACGAACGATGAGGGCCGCTCTCCTCTTCTCAGAATTCATCGCGCTTCTTATAACTGTATAAATTAATTTCATATTGTTTCGTTAGTTCATACTTCTAATTTAAAAAATCGTTTTGCTATGGTGTACTTTTAGTGTAATGGATACAAATAAAATTCTAAAACTATTTAGTAAATGTTCAATTATATTAAAATAATGAAATACACGGAATAATGTTTCCGAAAATTAGAAGATATAACGAAAAGGACAAATTAGAATTGTTATTACTGACAATTACAATGTTATATTTACCATAAAATTATTTACATCATATTTAGAAGCTTACAACAGCCTAATACAGACAACTACAGCCTATCGCAAAATAATATATCTTACCACAACCCATTACACCCTACCACAACCCATTACACCCTACCACAACCCATTCCACCCTACCACAACCCATTACACTGTACCACAACCCATTACATCCTACCACAACCCATTACACCCTACCACAACCCATTACACCCTGCCACAACCCATTCCACCTACCACAACCCATTACACTGTACCACAACCCATTCCACCCTACCACAACCCATTACACTGTACCACAACCCATTACACCCTACCACAACCCATTACACCCTACCACAACCCATTCCAGCCTACCACAGATCTTTATCCGTCGACAGGTATGTGTGGGAACGCCACGTTAGTGGCAGACCTCATCCGGAAGGGAAATTGTCGGCCCGTGGAGCAACCGGTGCCAGTGCCTATCCCCAGTGGCTACGAGTCTGTGAGTTGGCCCTAGTCTGTACGAATGACTGTGTATTCCTTAGAGCCTGTCTATACAAGGTCTGTGTTTACCCTAGAGCAACGCGTCTCTAACTAACCTGCATTTATAACCAACAGTATGTGACTCACTACATTTAACAAAAGTAAAGGCTAGGCTTTTTTACTTCTACATACAAGAAAGCTGAAATTTTGTTAAATTCTCCACAACGTCCTATAGGGCTGCGTAGCTCCATTACACGAGAAGGGAAGGGAAGGGAAGGGAAGGGAAGGGAAGGGAAGGGAAGGGAAGGGAACTATCTGGGAAGCACTGAGGGAAAGCATCAGGATAAAGAACAAATCCACAAGGACCGTGATGAGGATTCGAACCTACGCACGGGATATTCTCTATCAAACCAGCATCTGGTTGACAGAGCCCGAGTGCATGGGAGGGAATTGTGTGAAACCCTGATTGGGCTTCGGAGAAGCTTCGGGATCCTCGTGAGAGCAGTAGCACTCCAGGTTGTAATTCTATTTTTACCATGTCGTGGTACAGTTGACTAAGGCGCGTCCGGGAACATCATGTGCGTAGGTTCGAACCCTCATCACGGCCCTTGTGGATTTGTTCATTTGATATATCACGCTATTGTGATTTCTGTGTATATCAGGATAAATATTTGGGATGGGAAAAGGGGAAAGAATGGTGCCCAGCCACTTGGGCGGTCGGGGATTGAACGCCGACCTGCATGAAACGAGACCGTCGCTCTACCGTCCAGCCCAAGTGGTTCCACTACACAAGACTTAGGGTTGAGTTGAGTGTCATAACGTTGGGATAAGGCGTCTATCTACCAGTCGCGGAGGACACAGACCTTCAAGGTCACCAGGACCCTCAAGATGACACGTATACAGGTCCACCTCTATACAGATCTACGTCAGGCTGTTTGACTTATAATTTCATACAGTAAAGCGCATTCATGGAAATCTATTGCTAAAGTGGAGAGAGAGAGAGAGAGAGAGAGAGAGAGAGAGAGAGAGAGAGAGAGAGAGACACACACACACACACACTGGCAGCATTACCCCACAAGAAAAGAGCAGTCATGACCAGACTCCCAACATTAACCCCAAGAAGACAGCCGACCGTGACCAGACTCACAACGTCAACCATTAACCCCAACAAGACAGCCGGCCTTGACCAGACTCCCAACATTAACCCCAACAAGACAGCCGGCCTTGACCAGACTCCCAACATTAACCCCAACAAGACAGCCGGCCTTGACCAGACTCCCAACATTAACCCCAACAAGACAGCCGGCCTTGACCAGACTCCCAACATTAACCCCAACAAGACAGCCGGCCTTGACCAGACTCCCAACATTAACCCCAACAAGACAGCTGGTCGGGCCAAGCCCCAGTAAATGCTTTACACGCAAGAGTTACGGCCGCTGTAACAGCTCTCTTCGTAAATAAAAGGATTTTTAGTTTATTTTGAAGCTGAAGTAACGCAAGGATGAAGTGGGCGGGGAGGGGGGGGATGATAAAGCTGGGGAGGAAGAGAGAATATATTTAGAGAGAGGAGAAGAGAGAGAACACTCATAATAATGATAACCCTCATCATCTGAGACTGAAGAAAGTGAATAAGGTAAACGTAAGAAAATTTAAAATTTTACATTTACAATCTGCAAACGGCATATGAATGCTTTCCTACATTGCTAGTAAAGGCGGAATTCTGCTCAAACCACAACGCAATTTCGCACCTTTAAACCACTACGAAAACAAAATTCTTCCAAATGAATATGCGAGACAGAAAACACCTGACCAGCGAGTAGCAGATAGGAATAGGCAACACTGCGTCTTGAAATGGGTTTGCCCATTTCGGAGAAGCCCTGTAGAAGCCCTAATATTCCTGTAGACCATTTCATCTTGTGGCCCTGTAGAAACTACAGAACAGATGTTAGAAAACGGGGATAGAAAAACTAGCCCCAGGGAAACATGGGGTTACTATAGTATCGTCAGTACTAATATAAAGTTTACCGGAGGACCAATATCTCTAGTTACTATATATAATATTCATAATATTTATAAGTAAAGTTTCTAACTGTAACACACTCGCTGGGCTTCGCCAGCGATTTGATCTGGGTTCGAGTCCTGGCCAGGGAAAATTCACCAAGAGCCAATCCTTAACTGCATTCGTCTGTTTACCCAGCAGCAATTGGATATTAGGTTGTAAACCGATTGATGGGCCGTATTCCAGGGAAAACTAGTAAAGCTTACCATTAGCAATGGGAAGGAAAGCTTTCGGCATGCTAACAGGAGTTATAAGTCGTCTACTCCTGTACCCACCGATGTATGAAGAAATACATATACATACATATGCAACAACGATCACAAAAATACTGATCCAAGTATGCGGAAAAAACACACGTGAAAAATAAACAATGCTAAACACGTTTTCGGCTTAATTCGCCTTCATCAGAGCAAAGTAGCATGATTCGACTTTGCTCTGATGAAGGCGATTTAAGCCGAAAACGCGTTTAACATTCTCTATTTTTCGCATGTGGTTTTTTCTCCATACATACATATATATTAAGTATATATTTTAATTTCAAATGCATTTCCAATTATAAAAAAAACTATCAAAGAGCTATTCAGAGGTGAATACTCGCCCACAATATTTTCTTGCTAGACTCAGACATGAATTAAACTGATATTACTGACGAATTGATCGTCTTTCGAATATACGATGAATTATTAAATGTGACTATAAAGGCCAGTGTTGTCTATCCTCAGTCTCACCCGCGCTGGCTCACAGGCCATTTGTCTCTCTACCCTCACGGCCTAATTTATATCTTTTTTTCTCTCTCATTCTCCTTGACGCATTGACAACCATTTATCTCGCTTTTGTATTGTAACCTATATATATAAGTATAATTATATATGTTTATATAATTATACATTATATAATGTATAATACACACACATTATATATATATATATATATATATATATATATATATATATATGACCGAAAAAGTAAGATTAATAATTCTAACACGAATTTTCTCAATCTTTCGTACATTATGCTTCACTGTTGGAGGTAAATCAAAAATCACTTCTCCAAAATTCATTTTTATTTCTAGTCTGACGCGACACGGGCGCGTTTCGTAAAACTTATTACATTTTCAAAGACTTCACAAATACACAACTGATTAGAACTTGCATTTCCCTGATTTTATATCTACTTTTGAGTGAGGTGGGAAGGGTGATGTGGCATTACATTTGAGTGAGGTGGGAAGGATGATGTGGCATTAGAGGATATTAATAGGGTATTAAAAGTATCAACACAAGACAGAACACGAAACAATGGATATTGAATAGAAGTGTTTGTAGAAAGCCTATTGGTCCATATTTCTTGATGCTTCTATATTGGAGCGGAGTCTTGAGGTGGGTAGAATATAGTTGTGCAATAATTGGCTGTTGATTGCTGGTGTTGACTTCTTGATGTGTAGTGCCTCGCAAACGTCAAGCCGCCTGCTATCGCTGTATCTATCGATGATTTCTGTGTTGTTTACTAGGATTTCTCTGGCGATGGTTTGGTTATGGGAAGAGATTATATGTTCCTTAATGGGAGCCCTGTTGTTTATGCATCATTAAACGCCTAGAAAGAGATGTTGTTGTCTTGCCTATATACTGGGTTTTTTGGAGCTTACAGTCCCCAAGTGGGCATTTGAAGGCATAGACGACGTTAGTCTCTTTTAAAGCGTTCTGTTTCGTGTCTGGAGAGTTTCTCATGAGTAGGCTGGCCGTTTTTCTGGTTTTATAGTAAATCGTCAGTTGTATCCTCTGATTTTTGTCTGTAGGGATAACGTTTCTATTAACAATATCTTTCAGGACCCTTTCCTCTGTTTTATGAGCTGTGGAAAAGAAGTTCCTGTAAAATAGTCTAATAGGGGGTATAGGTGTTGTGTTAGTTGTCTCTTCAGAGGTTGCATGGCTTTTCACTTTCCTTCTTATGATGTCTTCGATGAAACCATTGGAGAAGCCGTTATTGACTAGAACCTGCCTTACCCTACAGAGTTCTTCGTCGACTTGCTTCCATTCTGAGCTGTGGCTGAGAGCACGGTCGACGTATGCGTTAACAACACTCCTCTTGTACCTGTCAGGGCAGTCGCTGTTGGCATTTAGGCACATTCCTATGTTTGTTTCCTTTGTGTAGACTGCAGTGTGGAAACCTCCGCCCTTTTCCATGACTGTTACATCTAGAAAAGGCAGCTTCCCATCCTTTTCCGTCTCGTAAGTGAAACGCAGCACGGAACTCTGCTCAAATGCCTCCTTCAGCTCCTGCAGATGTCTGACATCAGGTACCTGTGTAAAAATGTCGTCAACATACCTGCAGTATATGGCCGGTTTCAAGTTCATGTCGACTAAGACTTTTTGCTCGATGGTACCCATGTAGAAGTTTGCAAACAGGACACCTAGGGGAGAACCCATAGCGACCCCATCTACTTGCTTATACTTTCGAATGCCTCTTTAGTACAAGCTTGGAGTAGTTTCCTCAGAATGCTTTCTGGCATGTCAAGAGGAGTACAGGCTGGATCACGATACACTCTGTCGGCTATCATTCCGATTGTCTCGTCCACAGGTGTTGGTAAACAGCGATTCTACGTCCAACGAGGCTCTTATCCCTGTGGCCCGTGCGCCCCGCAGTAAGTCCACAAATTCCTTTGGAGACTTCAGGCTGAAGGCGCAAGGAACATAAGGAGTCAGCAGGCCGTTGATCGCTTTGTCTGTACGTGGGTGTGGGTATCTGGCTAATGATTGGCCGAAGTGGGTTTCCAGGCTTGTGCGTCTTGACATTTCCATACGCATATCCAGGTTTATATTCCCCAATGATCTTTGGCAGGTGGAGTCCGGATTTCTTGGCGTTCACAGTTTCGATCTTTGTTGACCTTTGCTTTTAATTCGGCTGTAGTGTCCTTCGTTATTTGGAACTTAGTTTGGTCAGAGAGTATGATGTTCATTTTCGCCAGATATTCGTCTTTTTTAAGAATGACATATATTGGCGACTTGTCACCTCTCCTGACAACTATCTCCTTGTTCTCGCGAAGGCTTTTAGCTGCCGCTCTAAGCTCGGGGACAGTATGGTGCTTCTGTAGTTGCCTCGATTCTTTCCTCCTTCTGCATAACGAACGACCGGCGCAGGTCACAGTCCTAGCGCCGTATACTGCTTTAGAGTCATCTGTTGGGCTCGCGACACCCGTTTCAATGCTCAATCTCGTGCGGCTAGAATTGCCGCTAATCCCTCTAAGAAGAAGTTGCGAACTGGACACCAATTGCTGGAGATCCGTCGACTAGTTAATAGGCCAGAGTCTCGTTCGTTATCTCGTTCGTTCGTTATGAGCTTAGAGCGGCAGCTAAAAGCCTTCGCGAGAACCAGGAGAGGTGAGACGAATATCTGGCGAAAATGAACATCATACTCTCTGACCAAACTAAGTTAACGAAGGACACTACAGCCGAATTAAAAGCAAAGGTCAACAAACTGATCGAAACTGTGAACGCCAAGAAATCCGGACTCCACCTGTCATTGGGGAATATAAACCTGGATATGCGTATGGAAATGTCAAGACGCACAAGCCTGGAAACCCACTTCGGCCAATCATTAGCCAGATACCCACACCCACGTACAGATTGGCAAAGCGACTCAACGGCCTGCTGACTCCTTATGTTCCTTGCGCCTTCAGCCTGAAGTCTCCAAAGGAATTTGTGGACTTACTGCGGGGCGCACGGGCCACAGGGATAAGAGCCTCGTTGGACGTAGAATCGCTGTTTACCAACGTACCTGTGGACGAGACAATCGGAATGATAGCCGACAGAGTGTATCGTGATCCAGCCTGTACTCCTCTTGACATGCCAGAAAGTATTCTGAGGAAACTACTCCAAGCTTGTACTAAAGAGGCACCCTTCTTGAGCCCGGATGGGCATATGTATAAGCAAGTAGATGGAGTCGCTATGGGTTTCTCCCCTAGGTGTCCTGTTTGCAAACTTCTACATGGGTACCATCGAGCAAAAAGTCTTAGTCGACATGAACTTGAAACCGGCCATATACTGCAGGTATGTTGACGACATTTTTACACAGGTACCTGATGTCAGACATCTGCAGGAGCTGAAGGAGGCATTTGAGCAGAGTTCCGTGCTGCGTTTCACTTACGAGACGGAAAAGGATGGGAAGCTGCCTTTTCTAGATGTAACAGTCATGGAAAAGGGCGGAGGTTTCCACACTGCAGTCTACACAAAGGAAACAAACATAGGAATGTGCCTAAATGCCAACAGCGACTGCCCTGACAGGTACAAGAGGAGTGTTGTTAACGCATACGTCGACCGTGCTCTCAGCCACAGCTCAGAATGGAAGCAAGTCGACGAAGAACTCTGTAGGGTAAGGCAGGTTCTAGTCAATAACGGCTTCTCCAATGGTTTCATCGAAGACATCATAAGAAGGAAAGTGAAAAGCCATGCAACCTCTGAAGAGACAACTAACACAACACCTATACCCCCTATTAGACTATTTTACAGGAACTTCTTTTCCACAGCTCATAAAACAGAGGAAAGGGTCCTGAAAGATATTGTTAATAGAAACGTTATCCCTACAGACAAAAATCAGAGGATACAACTGACGATTTACTATAAAACCAGAAAAACGGCCAGCCTACTCATGAGAAACTCTCCAGACACGAAACAGAACGCTTTAAAAGAGACTAACGTCGTCTATGCCTTCAAATGCCCACTTGGGGACTGTAAGCTCCAAAAAACCCAGTATATAGGCAAGACAACAACATCTCTTTCTAGGCGTTTAACGATGCATAAACAACAGGGCTCCATTAAGGAACATATAATCTCTTCCCATAACCAAACCATCGCCAGAGAAATCCTAGTAAACAACACAGAAATCATCGATAGATACAGCGATAGCAGGCGGCTTGACGTTTGCGAGGCACTACACATCAAGAAGTCAACACCAGCAATCAACAGCCAATTATTGCACAACTATATTCTACCCACCTCAAGACTCCGCTCCAATATAGAAGCATCAAGAAATATGGACCAATAGGCTTTCTACAAACACTTCTATTCAATATCCATTGTTTCGTGTTCTGTCTTGTGTTGATACTTTTAATACCCTATTAATATCCTCTAATGCCACATCATCCTTCCCACCTCACTCAAATGTAATGCCACATCACCCTTCCCACCTCACTCAAAAGTAGATATAAAATCAGGGAAATGCAAGTTCTAATCAGTTGTGTATTTGTGAAGTCTTTGAAAATGTAATAAGTTTTACGAAACGCGCCCGTGTCGCGTCAGACTAGAAATAAAAATGAATTTTGGAGAAGTGATTTTTGATTTACCTCCAACAGTGAAGCATAATGTACGAAAGATTGAGAAAATTCGTGTTAGAATTATTAATCTTACTTTTTCGGTCATATTTAATACACACACATTATATATATATATATATATATATATATATATATATATATATATATATATATATATATATATTATAATTACACTAGGAGAAAGAACCCGGTGGTGCCCGGGATAGTAATCATTCCACCCAATCTCTCCCTCTCACCCTAACCCTGTCCTAATTACATATTAACCACATTAATTCCTAAACCCCCTTTGAAAGTATATATAACCCTCAACCTCGGTTCTCCTAATGATACCCTAATTGCATTCTAATCACATCCAATTACTGACAAAACTAGGTGATAGCGAGCACTAATGTCACCATCCCCTCCCGGGCCAGGTGACTCCAGCTGTGGTGATGGTGACCAGGTGTCAGGGTCTAAGCTGCTATCCCAGCTCCTACAGCTGCATCCCTCTCTACGTCACCGACCTCATCATCCCGGTAAGTTGGTTAATATCACCGTTGGTTACGCCCTGAAGGCTGATTGTGCTCGGTAAGATTTCCTCCTATCCTGGTAAGTTGAAACTTTAAAATTGAGGGGGTAGAGTAGAGATAGCCTAAGATACTCTATCCCAAAATTTTGACGGTTGTCAAATTGTGAGATTTGAGCTGGCGAAAACAGTTGCCAAAGCTCTGTTGGTCAGAGTTAGCTGGTAACACTTTAGGCAGGGAACTGCTCTTGATAAGAGTCACTCCCGTTCAACACTATCATTCCTGAAACTGACATAAATAAGGATTCCAAATATACTAGTGAGATGTTTTAAATAACTGAGTTTTAATTGGAATCAGTTTTTTTTCTAAATTACTCCTAATGTTTAAATTCTAGCAAACCCATTTACAATGACAAACTTTATTGCTTGATTTTCAATTCAGTTATGGCTTTATTATGATATTTTCATTAATTTTTAATTGAAAATGTTTGCAACTTGTGTTCAGTATAATACATTGATAATAGTAAAATGTATATCAAAACCTACGCCAATGTAGCCTAATGTAAGAGTTTTCAACACAAACAGAACACGAAAGTATATAAATTGGATAAGTTTAGATTCAGGAAAGGCCTGGGTAAATACTGGTTTGTAAACCGGATTATTGTTTTATGGAACAGGTTACCTTGTAACATAATAGACGTGGGATTGCCGAATTATTTCACATACAGGTTAGACTAATATCTTATATGAATGAGTTTGGGTAGATATAAATAGGAGCTGTCTCGTAGGGGTCAATAGGAGCTGCCTCGTATGGGCCAAAATTGTGGAACTCTCCCACAACACTGACCTCTCCCACGTCCACAGGTGTACGCCCACGCCCACAGGAGAACCAGAACCTGCATGGAGGTGAAGGTGGAACAGCACACAGGCTGCCGCTGTGCCTGTGATAGAACCTGTCCTGTCAACCAGGTGAGAAGGAGGGAGCAAAATGATGTAGACAGAGTAAGACAAGGTTTTGGGGGAAGGAGGATGGGGAATAGAGGGAAAGGGGGAAGGAAGAGAAGGGAAAGGGGGAGAGAGACATCAACATACCCTGAGAGTTTAGTTAGAGTAATCAGAAGAACCCTGCCTGCCTCTCTCCTCTTCTCCAGCACACCACCAAAATAGATGCTCAGGGCTCCCGGTAAACAAAATATAACTTGGCATATGCCACATATGTACTTATCAATCAGCCAAATAGTGTCTATAAACAATAAGTCATATATGTACTGTCTTGTGCGAGAGGTTGCAACGACTTCTTGAATCACCCAAGTTAAATTCTCCACAACGTCCTATAGGGCTGCGTAGCTCCATTACACGAGAAGGGAAGGGAAGGGAAGGGAAGGGAACTATCTGGGAAGCACTGGGGGAAAGCATTAGGATACATAACAAATCCACAAGGATCGTGATGAGGATTCGAACCTACGCACGGGATGTTCTCTATCAAACCAGCATCTGGTTGACAGAGCCCGAGTGCATGGGAGGGAATTGTGTGAAACCCTGATTGGGCTTCGGAGAAGCTTCGGGATCCTCGTGAGGGCAGTAGCACTCCAGGTTGTAATTCTACTTTATCAATTTAAAGTATCAATTTAAAGTCATATATGTACTGTCTTGTGCGAGAGGTTGCAACGACTTCTTGAATCACCCAAGTTCTTTAACAATGGATACAATCACCGCAGAGTTTATTTCACTAGCTTATTAATGAGAAATACCTCACATTCAATGTTTCGATTTCTGTATCACAGAATGTCAGTCATCTATCCCTAATACATACTGTCACTAATAATTCAGTGGCAATATCACTAAAGCTTTATTATCACTGTTGAATTTAACTGATGCACCGTCAATTACACCACATCTCTATAACCGACTTTCAAGTCACTGTAAACCTCACCAGTCACTGTCCAGGATATCTCGGACATTTCGTGATGCTTACGAGGTCTGCATCTCTTATCTCCATAATGGAGGCTTTCTCGGTACTTAATAAACAATTTACGAGCTCCGAACCAGTCGAAGGTCGTAGATTTAGCCAATACCATTAGATTGATAGGCTTCGCAGTGCTTTGGAGCTTGTAAACATAAATGTAAATAAAACCGGCATGATTGCGGAAAGATGTACAGGTTTCGTAAGTGCTTAATAAATCCTGGTTCAGGATGCGACAACCTATCCGTCAAATAACACGTCGCATTTTGTACGCTATGATCCCTAACGGATAAAATAAAGGGTACTATGAAAAATAGCAGCTAAAAAAAAAATTAGCTACCCCTACTCCTGCTGTATGAACTCATACAAAGATAAAACATTATTATAACTCTGCCTTTCCCTCCTGCTGCAGGTGCTTAATAATAAGGATGAGTGCGCATGCGTGTGCGACTCAAAGGAACAAGAGATGTGCGAGGTGCGTCAGCGCCTGTGGGACGCCACCACGTGCTCCTGCGTCTGCCCGCCCGCACTCGTCTCCCAGTGCTCGTCCGGGGAGGTCTTTATCCCGGAGCTGTGCAGGTACCAGTCATCTATACTTATTCTGTGATGATGTACAGGTTACATAAGTACACTGTATTATCCCATGTTGTACAAGACCATCAACACCCACCACTACCACACCACAGACCATCAACATCCTCCACTACCACACCACAGACCATCAACACCCACCACTACCACACCACAGACCATCAACACCCACCACTACCACACCACAGACCATCAACACCCACCACTACCACACCACAGACCATCAACACCCACCACTACCACACCACAGACCATCAACACCCACCACTACCACACCACTACCACACCACAGACCATCAACACCCACCACTACCACACCACAGACCATCAACACCCACCACTACCACACCACAGACCAACAACACCCACTACTACCACACCACAGACCATCAACACCCACCACAACCACACCACAGACCATCAACACCCACCACTACCACACCACAGACCATCAACACCCACCACTACCACACCACAGACCATCAACACCCACCACTACCACACCACAGACCATCAACACCCACCACTACCACACCACAGACCATCAACACCCACCACTACCACACCACAGACCATCAACACCCACCACTACCACACCACAGACCATCCAACCTCGCCATACACAAAATTTCCTACAGATCTATTTCCATGATATATCCAGACAATCCTGGAAACCGACATATCCCACTCAAACGAGGGCTTTTCGTACATAAAGTGGCCTCCTCTAGTGTTCCTACTACACAAACTACACCTATCAAACTACCATATCAAATTACCATAACCTAGCAAGCCTAACTACTGACAACTAAGCAGATGCGGATAAAATATTGAGAAAGTACCAACCACCTAACGTCCATGTTAGTGTGAAACTTCTACGAATGTACTGTATATGTTAATTTATACTCAAAGGTTTGTTGATGTATCTAATATGTTTATAATACAGGTGTGAGCTGTACTGAGCCCTGAAGACCACCTGCCACAGTACAACATCCGCGCCACCAGGACACACGCAGGTCTTCACTGGGACACTAACAGAGAGGAGAGGAGTATCAGGCCGTGGAGGTTCTTCACGGCCACAGAAGACATGCCGACATTAAGGGAACATCATCCAGGTGCCATTCGAGGGACGTTCTGTCTTTAAAACACACACTTGACGCCTAAAGGACGTTCAAACACGAAGTTCATGCACGTGTAATGGAATTCTTGACATCGTCTGTTACAGAGTAGCAGTCAAGGCAAGGTTGAGGTTTAATGATCAAAGTGTTTGGTAAGGGAGGGCTCACAAGAGCTAAATAAACCATCTGACACAAAACTTGTATTCCTGACCTAAGTGGTATGCAAATTAATTCAAGAAATTTCCCAAAGCAGAAGTCGCTTCCATCGGCGTCTCCTTAATCTCTTGTGGATTTCCATTTCCGCACCAAATGGTTATTTTGATAAGCAAGATTAAGGTATCCTGATCGAATACACTTCATGTTTTTACAGAATTTGTCACGACTCCGTAAGGGTCCAGGACGGACCGAAACGTCGTCACAAGGGTCCAAGACGGACCGAAATGTTGACACTTTCAGTTAAAATGAGTGGATTGTGTTAATTTTCAGCCTCGTTATTGTGACTTATTCTTTGGATTTTAGTGTCCAGTTTGTGAACATCGGATTCTCACGATGATAGTAACACCCGCCATTTGCAGGTCTTCAAGGATCTACCTTTCTTGTTTATCAACGACAATGAAAACATCTCGGCATTGGAAAGCTAACTCTTCAACTCAGAGGAATCTAAACAAAATGGATGCAAATAGACTCACACACTGACACAAACAAGCTCACAGCCATAAGCATACAAGCATCCACACACACAATCAATCTATGCGAAACTTGCAAACATTAGAACAGCATTTAGGGACCTAGGGAAATAATCCTTCAGAACATTGTTCACAACACGCATGAGACCCATTCTGGAGTATGACGCCCCAGCGTGGAACCCAAATCTAAAAAAACAAAACAAAAGCGAACTCAAGAGGCTTGCACTGGAACTGTCAGGAATGAACTACAAAGAAACCAAACCAGACTTGAAACAAAAGAGAAAGCATTCAGGAGACATGATAACGACATACAAGTTTCTCAGAGGACTATACAAGATCAACTAAGAGAAAATGTTCACTTTCAGGCAGGGTAGAACAAGGGGGACATGGATGGAAACTTGAAAAACCGAAGAATAACAGATGAGAGTCTACAGTAAGTAGTTGCAAGAAAACAGGATGGTCAAACGACAGCAAGGCGGGTCTCGGGAGCTGGCGCACAACCCCCTCCAAGCACCGACACAAAACTGGCAGCAATAAACAGACTTCCAGCCGTCATTACAAATTAGTTCTAGGAACGGGAAGATATACATCATGACAAAATATGCACTTGACACGTGACTCAGTGAACAATGGGGAAGGGGGGGGGGAATATTCCATAATTATTCTTCTCACGAAACACTTCAGTAGGGTCTAAAACCTGTACAGTCATGCATATTATGACATCATAATAAACACACTATTTTAGTTCTTATTTCTCTTCGGTTAGGTTGTGTCAGTGAGGTTCCGATAGGCTACGATAGACTGAGTTTGCTTAAAGAAAAGCGATGATGCAGAGGGGTACCTGTTCAGGTCTTTAGAGCCTTCTGCACAGTGACCTCCCAGACAGCTAAATTGTCTGACGCTGGCACTAGTGACCGGAAGAGCGAGGCACTGGTGCCAACGGTGCGAGCCACTGGTATTCTCCTCGCCAGGGCGGAGCCACCTGTCTTCACCTATGATATACTGTAGTTTATAATTACATCAAAATAAATACCCTGAGCAGAGTGTGTGTGTGTGTGTGTGTGTGTGTACTGAAATGCGCTTGTAAGGTCTAACTTCATGTAATCCAGTTCACTTGTTTACAACATATACGCTGTACATGTTACGTTTGATATGTGTGTGTTCCGTCCCAATCAATGTCTCCACATTGTACTGTTTCTTGCTTTAAACATTGCTTACATGTCTACAGTGTCAGTTCCCCTTAGTATTTGTTATATCGCTATCATTTCTCTCCTGTTCTTTGTTTCCTCCAGTGATAATCACTTTCCCTTTCTTCATGGCTCAGACACGAGACTTTTGTAACTATGGAACCTTTTCTGGCTATTGTTCTTAATCTTTATGTATGGGTTCCATGCCGGGGCGGCTTACCAAAGTCCAGGTCTCATGTAGTACGTATATACCATTCCTGAAGGATTCTTTGTCCAAGTACTGGAGGTGATCCGAAAGTTTGTTTAGTATACAAACAGTTTTTCGATTGGCCACTTCGTATAAAATACAACTATCTTACTTAACCAGAAACGTAAAAAGCACAACTGTTTTACCTAACCAGACATACGTAACCAGACATACGAACCTCATGAACCCCGTTAACCTATCGATGCCGATGCATAGAAACGTCAATATTTATGTGCTTTATTTTTTACAAACACTTTGCATTTGTAACGGACGGCTGATTCCGTAAACAACGTGACATATCCGGTGAGAGGACGGGCACGGCTCATACAGCCGATGCCAATGCTATAATGTGGTAACTAAACACTTCCCCAGTTTTACAAGTCAGAAGCTGCTTTCTCTTCATTCTGTACCAACCTGTCGTACCAGAAAATAGAAGCGGCTCGCGAAAGTGACGTACTGTCCCGTTTTCTGTTTTGGATCCTCTGGTAGGTTAGGAGAAAACACTTTAAACTGACCGTTTTCTTGATGTTGGGAAACCTTAGGAGGACGGACTGTCTGTACAATATTTAGGAATATTTGGCGTCATCTCTTCCGTATTCCTATCCTCATAACCTCGCATTAGTTTGGGGTAAAGTCTAGTAGCCATTTCTCAAGACCACCTGTCTAGCTTATTTTGCAGTGTGTCACATTTTGCAATGATCTGATTATTCACATTGGTTTTTACATCGTCAGCCATCATTATATGAACGAACTTATTTCCAGTTATGTTCTTGGCGTATATTGGAAACAGGCGTAGCCCTATTCCTGACCCTTAAGGTATTCTGCTCGTTATCTCTCTCAATTTTGATACCTTCTCTTACTGTGACCGACGCCTTCCTGAAAATTAGTTCCTTCACCCAACTTATCGCTCTTTCTGATAGTTTTTTTAAGGCAACCTTTTCTTTGTCTCAGAGACATCCGCGTCAGCTGTCTACTACAGAGGTGCTAACCGGGTACAGCCCTCCTGCTTTTCAACACAGACACTAAAGGGTGAAGAATGGGTAACACACAAACGGCAGCCAAGCTATCCACGCTTGTAACAGATATGAACCAACCCGACAAAAAATACACGAAGTGTAAATATTATTGAGAACAAAGTAATAGTGGCTTAAGGCATTGTATGTACTAGCTCTATCTATAAATTCATCAATATTTGTATCACCCCTTGTATGTATGTACTTTACCTGAATAAACATTTGAATTTGAATTTTGAATTTGAATTTCAAAAGGGGGTATCCCCCCCCCCCACATTAATCAACTGTCAAATTTATGCCACTAAGAACGCCTACATAATACAAACAGTATTATTAGCAAGTGCAACTAAAGCCATAAATATTAATATTCTAAAGGCGCTAATTCCCACCTAATAAATCAAATCTATAAATCTATCAATTAAAGCCAAATGTTGGAGGCTAGATGCTTGGAGAGATGATGTGATTTGACGAGTGCCATGAGGAGGAGGGGTCGGCTCCACGCCCTGCTAGAGGAAAATCGGCCCCTATGTACATCCTTCTGGAAGCCGGTGGATGTGAAATGTTCAGCACTAAATTCCGTAGACTTAAAACAAAAGTCATAGTTTGCCAGTGCAGACTACTTATCACATGCCTTTGTAAGACTAACCATCCTGTATGATGTGGGATTTTAGTACAACGTAGCTAGCTTTTTACACACTGTACTTCCCCTTCATATAGTCTAGGGTAGCTGCACAAATGCAGATGTATCTAAATGTGTTAAGAAACAAACATTGCCTATTCACATCCTGACATGTAAAATCTGTTCTGATGACAGATTTCCATTCTGGGAGCAACCGTTTGGTTAGTGAAGATAATGTGTGTGGGAGATGGTTGCAGTGATGGGGGGGGGGAGACACAGGGAGGGTGTGTGTACTGAAGGGGACACGGGTAGGGTGTGTGAGTGGAGGGGGGGGTGAAGAGGGAGTGTGTGTAAGAGCTGGATGTGTATGGTGGTGTTGGGGGGGGGGGTGGAAGGCTGAATGTAGAAGACCTGGACACCGCCGGGTATTGCATCTAGTCCACAGATTAGACAAAAATATTCCTGAACATTTGAAGCGCACGATAAACAAAATGCAACACCTGGTGGAGGCGCTGACGACCAGGTCCACGCAGAATTCACTTCATCAAACTGACAATGAACTGCGAATAATCAACACATTCACTTTCCAACTAAACCACCACCAACACCTATCCAATTAAGCTCAACTCCCTTGCCTTTATGGCAAGAATTTCGACAATAAAGCGAACTCCCGTAGGTCGTTATTTGTTCCCGTCTGAACACGGTTTTGGCTGTAAAGAGGACCCTGATGAACCTACCGGGGTATTACATTCCCGTCTACCAACTATGGCAAGATAAACGACCTCTTGCTTTAATATCCCCTTGCGATTTTTCCACCCCACATAATTAGTTACCTAATAATGATTTCTGTTTCTCTCCTGCCCCTTGAGACCTCTGTGTTTATGTTCTTACAAAAGCAAAGACAAAGTGAAAGTAAGAAGGAAAGAATTAACTTTAAATTTGGCTTTTAAATATGTGATGTGCGTCACTGGATTTACAGGCAATTCCCGCCGTAATGTCCGTTATTAACGGTAATTTTGAACTGTTACCCAAGACGGAGGGGGGGGGGGTACTCGTAAATTAACTTAGTAATTACTACCTTATCAATTGTGATTATTTGTCTTTCAACGACATTGTCATTAGTGCTTGTATTACCCTTGTTTTTCTTCGCGCTAAAGTATATAGACGCATAGAAGGAGGATGCATGAGGAGAGAGAGAGAAAGAGAGACAGACAGACAGACAGAGGCAGAATAACAGGGGGGGGGCAGAGAAAGAGAGTACATATATAGATGTGAGAATACAAAATAATAATATAACAAAAACATTAACCACCACTCCAACCAGCCTAGGCTAACTTGCTCCCAATTACAAGTTACCACCACTAGCTGAGTAAGGGGAGAAATCTAAGATGGCGGAGAAGAGAGGTGAAGAAATGAACAAGATGAGAAATATGACATAATAAAACAAAAGAACAGGTTCAGAGAGAGTTTTACTGCCCAGGCAATTTGGAGTGAATTACAGAGCACAGCGGGCGTGAGGCATAGCGGAGGGGGGCGATGGTGGTGTGTAGGCAAAGAAGTGAAAGGTGCGGGGAAAGAGGTAAGGAGTAAGGCGATTGATTGATGAAGATTAAGCCACCCCGAGAGGTGGCACGGGTATGAATAGCCAGTTAAGGAGTAAGGTGAAGGAGGGCGGCTTTATAAAAGGGGAGTACTACAAGCATGTCACCACACATACACAGCCTCGCTCCTGTGCCAGGTAAGTCCACTACTGGCTCACCATAGCCCGTGCTACTTGGAACTTTTGTTCTGAGTAGCTGAATCTAAAACAACAAGCATGTCACGACGGGAGACATATTCCTTTACGCAGGGTGCAGTCGCACCTCCACAGATCTCCAGTATCATCTATTGATACTGGTAATGGCTCAAAAGGGCCACCACTTACGGGCTATTCATGCCCGTGCCACCTTTTGGGTGGCTTAATCTTCATCAATCAATCAAGAATGTCACCTTACGGGCTATTCATGCCCGTGCCACCTCTTGGGTGGCTTAATCTTCACCAATCAGGCAGGCAATGACCTCAGCCCAGACCATCTTTAAACCTTCCTCGGTGATGCCACCCACAACAGCTGACTAAAGACACCTATAGGTCCCAGACACCTATTTACTGCTAAGTGAACAGCGGCATCAGGTGAAGGGAAACGTACCCAACCATATCTGTCCGAGCCGGCATCCCCCGATTGTAACTCTAGAAAGAATCCAACTTTATTACGAGAAAATACCGGGGTCGAATCCCGGGATTAGGTGTCAGAATAAGACGTTTGAGCACATTGTTTCCTCCGTTTCCTAACACCTGATGCCGCTGTTCACCTATCCACAAATAGCCACCCGGGAGTTAGGCAACTTATAGGTTGCATCCTGAAGGTCAGTATAGATGACCTAGAAGGTCCTCGATAAGCTTAAGCTGCCTATCCCCGACAGTGATAAGCTTAACAAGCTGCCTATCCCCGACAGTGATAAGCTTAACAAGCTGCCTATCCCCGACAGTGATAAGCTTAACAAGCTGCCTATCCCCGACAGTGATAAGCTTAAGCTGCCTATCCCCGACAGTGATAAGCTTAAGCTGCCTATCACCGACAGTGATAAGCTTAAGCTGCCTATCACCGACAGTGATAAGCTTAACAAGCTGCCTATCCCCGACAGTGATAAGCTTAAGCTGCCTATCCCCGACAGTGATAAGCTTGACAAGCTGCCTATCCCCGACAGTGATAACCTTAACAAGCTTCCTATCCCCGACAGTGATAAGCTTGACAAGCTGCCTATCCCCGACAGTGATAACCTTAACAAGCTTCCTATCCCCGACAGTGACAAGCTGCCTATCCCCGACAGTGATAACCTTAACAAGCTTCCTATCCCCGACAGTGATAAGCTTGACAAGCTGCCTATCCCCGACAGTGATAACCTTAACAAGCTTCCTATCCCCGACAGTGATAAGCTTGACAAGCTGCCTATCCCCGACAGTGATAAGCTTGACAAGCTGCCTATCCCCGACAGTGATAAGCTTGACAAGCTGCCTATCCCCGACAGTGATAAGCTTGACAAGCTGCCTATCCCCGACAGTGATAAGCTTGACAAGCTGCCTATCCCCGACAGTTGGGAACTACCATATTATGACAATGAAAATATTCATAAAATATCACAGAACTAGACAAAATGACATGGAACTATAATGGTACATTATGTAACATACAATCCACCAACTACCCAGTGGTTCCCTTCATGGTGAACCACTGAACGTATTCAGGTATCTATACATACATAAAAAAAAAAAAACACATACGTAACATGAGCGGAGAGCATTCTGCAGCGCGTCCACCCTCGAGGAAGTCTTGCTGTGCACTGCCTTTAATGAGGTATTCTGTAGCCAAGCTAACAAGTTCCCGCCTGTTTGACCTAATTTTCAAAAATATTCCAGAATCAAAAAAATAATCGCCTCATTAATTACTTGATGTCACATTAATGACTTAATAGGACCACCAACCCGTCAAACTTACGTAGAATAAAAACTATTTTACAAAAAAAATAGAGTTCACATTTTAGGAACTGTATGTTGGCGAAGCTAAGCGCTTAATTCTTGCTCGTGGCGTTGGGTAAAAAATATTGAGACCTACAATGAGAAAATAGCCGATTTTGGCAAAATTTATCACCCTACAATATGGCTTCAGGATAAACAGCATGAGGCTTCAGGATAAACAGGATGTGGTTTCAGGATAAACACAGCATGTAGTTTCAGGATAAAAACAGCATACGGCTTCAGGGTAAACACAGTATGAGGCTTCAGGATAAACAGAGCATGTGGTTTCAGGATAAACAGAGCATGTGGTTTCAGGATAAACAGAGCATGTGGCTTCAGGATAAACACAGCATGTGGCTTCAGGATAAACACAGTATGAGGCTTCAGGATAAACACAGCATGTGGCTTCAGGATAAACACAGTATGAGGCTTCAGGATAAACACAGCATGTGGCTTCAGGATAAACACAGTATGAGGCTTCAGGATAAACACAGCATGTGGCTTCAGGATAAACACAGCATGTGGCTTCAGGATAAACACAGTATGAGGCTTCAGGATAAACACAGCATGTGGCTTCAGGACAAACACAGTATGAGGCTTCAGGATAAACACAGCGTGTGACTTCAGGATAAACACAGTATGAGGCTTCAGGATAAACACAGCATGTGGCTTCAGGAAAAACACAGCATGAGGCTTCACAGCATGGGAAATACGACTCGGCCGTTATTTTTGAGCCGAATTCTGCCTCATTTCACATATTTGGAGTTTTAAATTGCAATTTTTTATACTGAAAATATGCAAACTAGTGAAAACGGTGATTGGTCAGATTTTGCCCAAGTTGACCTGCAGGTTTCAAAATACGATGCCTATCGGAAATATGATTTTTGACCTGGTTGATGGAGTTCTGAGAGTTCTACTCCCCAAGCCCGGCCCGAGGCCAAGCTTGACTTGTGAGAGTTTGGTCCACCAGGCTGTTGCATGGAGCGGCCCGCAGGCCCACATACCCACTACAGCCCAGTTGGTCCGGAATGTCTTTTGGAAAACAGTCTAGTTTTATCTTGAAGATGCCCACGGTTGTTCCGGCAATATTTCTTATAGTCGCTGGGAGGGTGTTGAACAACCGTGGACCTCTGATGTTCATACAGTGTTCTCTGTGCCCATGGCACCTCTACTCTTCACTGGTTCTATTCTGCATTTTCTTCCATATCGTTCACTCCAGTATGTTGTTATTTTACTGTGCAGATTAGGGACCTGGCCCTCCAGTATTTTCCATGTGTATATTATTTGGTATCTCTCTCGTCTCCTTTCTAGATAATTTAGGTGCTTTATTGCGTCTATACGTGCCGTATATGTTCTCTGTATTCCCTCTATTTCAGCAATCTCTCCTGCTCTGAAGGGGGAAGTAAGTACTGAGCAGTACTCAAGACGGGACAACACAAGTGATTTGAAGAGTACAACCATTGTGATGGGATCCCTGGATTTGAAAGTTCTCGTAATCCATTCTATCATTTTTCTGGCTGCCGCAATATTTGCTTGGTTTGGCACCAAGCCAAACAAGGCATGTTCGAGACCGGATCGGTCTCGTTGCTCACTTTGGGAAAGAAGAGGAGTTTCAGAAGTAAATCTCAACAGCCTGTCAGAACACTGGATTAACTGATCCACCTGCCACAGTTAGGGTCAATTTTAAATTATACAAAAATATTAATATACATAATTAAGATGTATACAAGTACAACTAATCAAAGTTTCCACCTGCATACATGTCAATATATTATTGAACGATAATTTTCAAAGTTTATACGAGTGTTTCATCAATGTTGTGATGTTTACCAATGCTGCACATTATTTCATACAGTTATTAAAATATAAACTCCTTCACTTTCTCTTTGTAAACTACTAGATTTTATGTACAGTAATCCCATTTTTGGACTGATTCTGCAATAACAGAAACTTTGATTATCTCATTTCCAGACTTTATGGACATATTGCATACACTGCAATGTACAATAAATTGTATATGTAATAAACAGTATACCTAAATACAAGTAAAGGATAGAAAGAAAAACTTAAATAATGATTTTTATTAAGTTCTTGAATGTCAGATTACATAATACCAAAGTTCAGTATGAACAAACCTCCTCACACTGGACTTGTATAATTCACTTGTTGTAGAAATACAATTTTATTTTAACAGCATTTAAAATACAGTATTTTGCTAGCTAACAACATTTTAGGCACTGTGCATATATTTAAATCTTAATAATATTAAATATGAATTTTTTAAACCAATTTATAAAAATACTGTACTACACTACAAGGAATTTGTTGAAAAATTAATAAATAGTACCAGAGAAAATAATTCGACATTTATAAATAGTACCCAAGATATCGAAAGAAAATAATTTGGTACATACCGAGACAAAGCACTAAATCAGTACAGTATAACTGTCTAGCTCTGTTTTCATATAAAAATTGATTAGGAGAAAACTTAAAGGATGCAATTATCTACAATTAAAAAGTACACAGTACTGTACAGTCACTAAAATATAACTACCAAGCCAACTACAAACTAGACAATTGTCCTCATTTCAGTAAGCAAAGTGAAAGTGAACAAAGTAACAAAGTGAACAAACGCATAAATAAAAACTCATCCACCAGCCCTATACTGAATTACATGTAATTTGTTATATATATATATATAATCTACATTAGAAACACACAAACTGAAGAACTTTTCCAATATTTTTTTCTACACTGTACCCTCAGTACAACTGCAACACAAGAGTGATTCGAAATGTTTAAATTCCACACTAGCTTCAAGCAAGTAATCAGAAGAAAATGCCAAGCACCTGGAAGGCTATATATAGCACGAATGCTAACTTCAATAAGTACCGCACTTAATTTTTTCTTGGTAATTACCTTGGAAAAGTTTTGCACTTTGCCCTTTTTTATTGTTGTATCGCACTCTTGTGAAGCAACATCCTGGCACATTTTGGCAAGATCTTAAGATTGAATAACTTGCTTTTTCTATATCCTGTATATTTTATCTCCATGTACAATTTTAGTATTTTTAGATGAATAATATTCACAAAATGTGGTGTCTTTTGCAACAGTACTTTATAGAGAAACATTACCAAACTTTTATTAATTATTTCTGCACGTTCAAACTTCAGTTTCACAAATTTAAACTTAAATGTTTCAGAGAAAAATTTCTTTAAATGTTTGTCTTGAAAAATAATGGTCAATGTGCAACAATTTTTAAACTTTTGTAGTTCCCCCCAAACTATGAAATAGATTTCTTACATTTCCCAAAATCCATTTATATTCATGCAAAGGTGAAACGAATAGTACTCATAGGTTGTGTGAAACAACCTTGAGCCACATTCTCCACTAACTGCAAGTGTATTCTATACTGTCGAGAATTTAGCTACTGAGCTTTGTACATTTTCAAAATTTACCAACTTTAGGAAAAATGGTCGAATCATTGCATAAAACCTTACATTGTTGTATTAACTCTAATCCCTCAGCAATCACTCGTGCCATGAAGGTCACAAGCTCCAAAAGTACAGAAGCCATCAAGAGGTTTTTATTGAACACTAACTTGCACTTATTAAGCCCTAAACAGCTCCAATTGCTATCTGTGATTACCACTGTGCTCCAATCTAGTGACTTTTTTCATTTGTTTCATGAAATTTTTTTTATCATGTGCACCACGATGGAGGACCTTTAAATAGCCGAGATGTTTAAGGATCAATTGTCCTTATTGGCAATACTCATGAGTAAATATCTAAAGAAAGTGTAAAGCCAAGATGGCTAATTATCATTGGTAGTGCATAGCCTAAATTAATGTCAGGATCTGGTTATCTTTATTTTCCCCACATTAACCTGTGCCTCAGATACAGTACAATGGCAAATTTTTGTCAATGCAAATATATGGAATTTTCCTACCTTTATTGATTGGATTTTAAATACATTCCCATAAAGATCAGTGTATTAATAATCTTGCATTTTAAGTCACCATTGCATGAAGATGAAATCATTAATACTCATAAAATCACCATTTGCTCTCACTTGGTATTTAGATCAAGATCAGAAACTCCTTAAAATATGCAACAAACCCACATAAATTACATTAAATTATATTTTCGGGCATATCGGCTAACTACAAACCTTGCTAGCTATACTGTGCTAATTACAACCAACCTCACAGCTGATCAGGCACATACGGACACTAATGCTGATTAGCCATTACCATCAAAAAATTTCAGTCACTGCTAATGTTGTCATGATTTTTCATGTCACATTTTCTAATTCAAGTACTACATATAGAAAATACTTCTTGAAACCTTGATTATGAATTAAACTAACAATTTTGAGAATGTACTTTACTTTATATAATCAAAATAGATATTGTCAATAATTAAAGAATGATGGACATCAAACTGTTAGCAGTTTCTAAAATGCTTGATGATAAAAAAAAAACTTGCAACTGTACCCCGTGTATGAATCATGACCTGTAACTGTACCATATATTTGTATCTATATCCCTAAGATCATACTTAATAGGTTTCAAAATGTTGTAGAGCAGTGCCACAAACATTTATTGCAACACGAATTCTCCACAATAATGCGTG